AGCAGCGGGCGCAGCTGCTGCTTCTTGCAGCGCTGCATCCCCGGGTGCCGCCGGACTTGGCGTCGGGGCGGCGCGGGCTGCCGGCTAAAGAAGGGCGCGGCGGGCAGGGAGGAGCGCCGGCCCCTGCTCCGCCGGCCCCGCTGCGGGCGGGGGAAGCCCGTGAAAGCCCCCGCGGGCCGGAGCCGCCCTGCCCTGCCCGGCAGCGCCCGCCCGCGAGAGGAGGGGAGGGGAGCGCGGGCTGTGCCGCTCTCTCCGCCTGCCTGCGGGTTTCTGCCTCGGAACCTCCTGCCTCCCTGTCCCCGCTTCTCTTCCCCTGTCCCGGGCTGCTCCCGCTCTGCCCGGGCCTGGATCAGGGCTGCCGGGCGGCTGGGTTTTGTTTCGAAGTTAGATGCATCTTCATCAGTGCGATCCCACGGGCTGAGACTTGAACCCTTGTCTGAAGGCGCGGGCGCAGATGTGGCCTAGAGCAGTACTCCTCAAACGTCTGTTTTTTCAGCAGACCACTTCAGAAACTTTTTGTTCCGCAAATCAGCGCGCACAACTTCTGTTTTAATATTGTAGCTTTACCGTTCTAATACAATGGGCGTGCCTGGTTTTTCTGAGCAAAGCTCTGGGAAGGCGGGCGTGATGCTTGCCAGCTTCAGCCGTAGGTCACCTTTCTGCAGACCACCTGAATGGAGCTCGTGGACCACAGTTTGAGGACCTCTGCCCTAGAGGAAAGAGAAGTAGCCTGAGGCAGAGGAAATCTGGATTAATTTATTATTTGTCCGAGATGAGTCTGACAGATTTCATTAAACCTAAAGAAACATAAATGGCTCTTCCAAGCTACTTGGAATGAATACTAACAAAATCATCATACCCTGGGCAGTAACGTTTGGGGTGTACTATTTATGCCACATCAGCCGTAGAAAGCTTTTTTAGAAATGCTGTGAATCTTAATTTGAATCGGTCCAAGAGGGCAAGGAGGAACAGGAAGAAAACTACTCATTTGCTGTGGGACCTTGAATAGCAAGAACCACAACTCCAGGTCTTTGTTCTCACCGTTGCCACCAACAGAGCAAAATGCTTTGCACGCAGGGCCTGAGCCAAACCTGTACAGAGTCCATGGGGCTCGAAGTCTTCTAGCATTTCACAGGCTTCCTTCAGTGCCTCGCACAACAGCACTGCAAATTGGGTAAACACGACTTTTCCCTGGGTCCAAGAGGCTGGGTGACATAGGCAGTGTCACACAGCTAGTTTGTGTCAGAGCAAGATTTAAGAAAGCAAAATAGTTTCTCTTGGCTGCTGTGTCTGTTAGGCAAAAACATTCAAAGGGGGCTATGAGGGCAACTAGCTTCTGAAAAAAAGGCTCCTAATTTGGCTTTCCAGTACTATACACAGTCAGTGGCCATTCCTAGAAAGGTAGTTACATACTTTAATACTGCACTGCTAGTTAGGTTAGGGATAGAGGCCATGTCATGAGTTGATATGACTGTAATGCAGGGGTGGGCAAAATGCGGCCTGTGGGCCAGATGTGGCCCGCCAGGCCATTCTATCCTGCCCATGGGGCCCCTAAAAATTTACAAAATTAATATTGCCCCTGGCTGCCAGACATGCAGCCCTCAATGGCTTGCCAAAACTCAGTAAGTGACCCTCCACCCAAAATAACTGCCCACCCCTGCGTAATGCCAGGTTCAGGGCAAAGGAGCTCAGTAGTAATGGATGCATCTGAACAAAATTATGGGTGTTTTAACACTAGGTTTAGGGTTATGTTTTTTTTGCATAGTAGCCTTTAGGAGACTGGTGCGTTAAGTTTAAAAAAAAAAAAAAAAAAAAAAAATGTCTGGTTTCTGGGTGCTAGGAGAAGGTGTTGTGGTCTAGAATGGCACAGGCCGAGGTAAGCCAGCTGTTCTTTGCATGATCTTTACTGGTTCTGATCACGATAGCCATGACAAACACAAGCAACCTTTCTCACAGTATTTGAGGACTGATCTACATTTGCAAAATCTGTCAGCCTAACTATGTTGGCCATGGCTTAGTCCCCACCCATCCTCCATCTACCCCCACCCTTTATCTACTTCTGAATGACACAACTATGCTGAAATTCAGTTTCACCAGCAAAATGTAGCTTAAACCAAGGGCCCCTCTACACTTGCAGGTAAAAGTGTGATGGGAGCTAAGATGTGATGCGTGCAATCAAGCCTCCTGCCATGTCATACATCCATGACAGGAAGTGTGATTGTGGGAATTGCCCATTAGATTTCATTGCATCTTATTGCTGGTGCAAGGGAACCCCGATCCCAGAGCTGCTGTGATTTCCCAGCCACAGGGTGCCCCATGCACCCCTGGGGCTGGGAAATTGCAGAAGCACCCGCTGGTGGCTGGGACCAAGAGGCGGGCCCTGTGTGGGGTGCTGCCGGGACCCAGAGTGTGCAGCTGCTGGGCACTGCTGGGGTTGAAAGTCCCTTCGGCTGTGGGACTCCCAGCCCTGATTGCACATTGTGCACCCCTGAAATGGAGAGCCTGGTCAGTAGGGCTGTGCGAAGCTTCGGTCCCTGATTTGATTTGGCGGAGACTCAGCCTGATTCGTTGGCCGAATCTCCAAATCCAAATTGAATCAGAAGACCCTTTAATCTCTCCAAATCGAATCGGAACCCTCCAAATCAATTCGGAAAGATTTGCAGATTGGGACGTAGAAAAAACATTTTAAAACTGTGTCTACATACCTCTAGGCACCAGTCAGCTTGTGAATGCTGCAGTGCTGGGGCAGATGGAGTGTCCCCCAACACGCTTGGCAGCAGACCTGGAAGTGGACCAAAAGCACTTCAGGTCCACTTCTGGGTCCACCAGAGAGTGTGCTTCCCCCCCGCCCAACGTCTCCCCTGGCTCTGACTGGTGCCCCCTGGCTAAACTGGGAGGGGGCAATGGGGGGGGGGGGTCACCGTGCACTCCCTGGCGGACCCAGAAGTGAACTGGAAGTACTTCCAGTCCACTTCCAGGTTCACTGCTGGGCGCATGGAGGGCCCCACCCACATGCCTGTGGGACACTCCATGCGCTGCAGCATTCACAAGCTGCGCTGCTACCTCAAGGTATGTAGAAAAAACGTTTCAAGCAGTGTCTATGTCTGAATTGTTGATTCTCTGAATCGGCATCAAATCTTCAGATTCGGATTCAACTGAATTGAATTAGGGACAGTGATCCGAATAGATTAATCAAATCACTGTCCCCGATGTGGGCCAAATCTGAATCGAATAGGGCCCGCTTCTCACACCCGTACTAGTCAGCTGCAGCGTCTCCCAGCCGCAGGGACAGATCCAGCTTTAATTTGCATGTATAGCAGGGTTGGAACTAGCTATAAAGTTGTTACACATTTTCCAACAATAGTTTTATAGCTGGGTAGACTCTCTCATAGCATGATAGTTAATTTGCATGTATAGCAGGGTTGGAACTAGCTATAAAGTTGTTACACATTTTCCAACAATAGTTTTATAGCTGGGTAGACTCTCTCATAGCATGATAGTTAATTTGCATGTGTAGCTAGTCTAAATTAATTGCACAATTAACCCAGTATTTGTGTGATGCATGTAATGTGTAGGGGGGGCCCAAGTCAAGACAAGTCAAGTTAGTTCCAAGACTGCACTGAATGTTGTGGCACTTTTGATGCTTTGGGGCAATAATTTTCTTCCATTCTTCCTGGTCTTCTACAATCCTTGTATACTCAGTCAGTTTTAATCCTGTCCAGTCTTTGATGGTGGTCCAGCTTATCCTAGGTCTTCCTTTTCTTCTTTGTCCATCCACAGCAACCCTGTAGGATGGTGATGGCAAGAATGCTGGGCCTTCTTGTTACATGTCCAAACCACTGTGTCTTTCTTCTTACAATTTCAAGTAAGGGTTCGTATTTGCCAACTTCATCTGATTTCATCTTTCACAGATTCATTTGTTCTGCATGTAGTGTAGGGTATGCATAGCACCACATTTCAGAGGTCTCTATTTGCTTTTCCAGTGCTGTAGTGAGTGTCTAGGTTTTGCAGAGTTGTTGAAATTACAACAGCATATAGTAGGTGGAGTTTTGTTTTCATTGTGATGTTGCTGCTAGTCCAGATTTTCTTCAGCTTTGCTAGTTGTCCAATGGGTATCCTTGTTTTTACTTCTTTTTCTGATATAGCTTTTTCTTGTTTCTGTGATGGTTGTTCCAAGGTATTTAAAATGTGTTACTTTTTTTTCTAGCTTCTCATTACCAATTTTTATTGATGCATCATCATTGCTACTGGCTGATGTTATCAATACTTTGCTTTTCTCCGCACCAATTTCCATTCCATATCTCTTTGTAGCTTTTATGCAGCCTCTGTTATTTCCTTAAGCTCTTCTACAGTTCTAGCTATTAGGTCAATGTCATCAGCAAAAGGAAGATTGTTAATTTCTCATCCTTCAACTGACACTGTTCCAGTGAAGTTCTCTAAGGCATCTGACAAGATTTGTTCCAGGTATAAATTAAATAAGCATGGCGAGAGAAGACAGTTTTGACATACTCCTACTGAAGTTACAAACTACTCCGCAGTGTTGTTAAGCTGGACTCCACTACTTGTATTGATGTAGAGTTCTTCTAGAAGACTTATTAATGTGGGACTGATGTTAGGCAGGCAAGGTTCTTTGGGTAGATGTGATATCTTTTATTAGACTATATCTGAGTATTCGGAACAAAGTTCTTTGCAAGCTTTCAGGCACCAGCAGCCTTCTTCAGGCATAGGGAGACTCCATAGTTCTGACATCTCCAAAGAATGAAAGTTGA